ATTGATCCAATACACCATTGTTCACTAACGGTTTGGTACATCTTGTACGAGCCATTTCATCTTCATTCTCCAGAACTGGTTTCGCGGTAACATTGATGAAGTCGGCGGAAGGCATGATAGCTACTATTTTGTTCACTCTGTGTGAACGTTTCGAAGATCTAATAATGAAAACAAAAGTATATACACTGAGTTTATATGAAGCAGAATGAAAAAAAGAGAGAGAAGAAAACGAAACCCAAAGCTCCTAATATAATTATCATATTTATTATCTTAGTATCATTAAAGTTCCCGAGGTACGGAATAATTCGAATGCCATCACATCATAGCATCTTGTTGGTCAGAACCCCGCAATGTGTACACACCCTGGTCACAATCCAATTGCGTGATATGTCACCATTCGAATTTAACCAAAAATGCGAAGAAATCGCGGATCTATCATTTGTATCTGGAAATTCCTTCCGTTATGAAATGAAATTTGCTGACTGAAAGTCACCGCGGTGATAACGTCCCAAGGATAAGAATGGGGTATGGTCCATCAAGTGCCATGGGGATGGACTTGTTTAAATACTTAAGTCAGGTACCAGAGACTTGTACCTATTGGATTATTTTCGGCTCAATTGAATTATTTCTCCAAGTCAGAATCGACAGTTGTAGCACTTGCTCTGCTTGATTTGATTTCAATTGAAAATATGGCGGAGAGTAAAGACATATCAAGGAAGGTGGTTTCAGACACTGGATCACAAATATCTGTGACCAATGTCGGCCGTGAGGCATTGGCTGATGCACTTCCACCTCATGAATTATATGAAGGAGCTCATCGATATGATCCAGCTGCTACATGGACGGAAGCAGAGGAAAGAAAAGTGGTCCGAAAGACTGATCTTTATCTTTTGGTGTGGATTTGCGTCATGGTAAGAATTCTCCTTTCTTGATTGTTACCCCGATTGTTGACCTTGTATTCAGTTCTTCGGATTGCAACTTGATAGAGGAAATTTATCCAATGCTACAGCGGACGGTATTCTGAGCGATTTGAAGCTTACTACCGATGACTACAACAATGTAAGTTTCTTTCGCTCCCCTAGTTTCAATGTATTGGTATAGGTACTTACAACTTGGTAGGGAAATACGATTCAATTGATGTGTTTTATGACAGCAGAATTCCCGGTCCAGTTCTTGACAAAGCGTTATGGATTCAAACATATTCTCCCCATAATGATGATGCTTTGGGGCACCGTCTGTAAGTTAAATAAACCTAAAAGCCCCATGAATCGAAAAAATAACATAACTGACACTACCACATTAGCCTGGACTCAGTCTTGGATGCACGATCGTACATCTTTCTACATCACTCGTGCCCTAATTGGACTTTGTGAAGGTGGTTTCATTCCTGGTACTATTCTCTTTGCAACATATTTCTACACGTCAAAGGAACTATCCGTTCGTCTCGCTTGTTTTTGGTCCACACTAAACATCGCGAGAGTAATCTCGGCTCTACTTGCTGCTGGTATCCTCACAATGAGAGGAGTGGGTGGTAGACCAGGATGGTTCTATTTGTTCTTGATCGAAGGACTCTTTACTTTTTTGATCGGGTTTATCGTAAGTCATGCCCTGCTCTCATTAGTCTCTTGTACCAGGCTAAAAAAAACAGAGCTTCTTTTACCTACCCCAATCACCAACGCAGACTTCCAGTGTTTTATACCGCAAGTCGTGGTATACAGAGCGAGAGGAAGTAATTATGGTGAATGTAAGTTTTGAATTCCGACAAATTGCTTCGATGCTGACCAGATAGCGAATTCTTCGGGATGATCCAGCAAAGGGACTCACAGCATTGAGAGAACCAGCCACTTTTAAAGATATTCGTGAGGCATGGAGTGACTCTTCCATGTGGGGTCTTTACTTCATCGGCTTGGTAGCATACATTCCTGCGACACCTGTTCAATCGTATATCACACTCACATTGAAGCGCTTGGGATATACTACCTTCAATTCGAACATGCTGACTATTCCATCCGCTGCCATACAAATCGTCACTATGCTTTCACTTGCATACAGTAGTGATTTTTTTGACGAACGTACATTTCACTGTGTTTTCGGAGAATTTTGGATATTGCCATTGCTTACGGCGCTCTTGACAATCCCTGATGGCGGGAGGGAGTGGGGTAGATGGTCTTTGGTAACGTTGATTTCTGGATGTAAGTGCTTGAATACGGTTTCTATGTCTTCACCAACTAACTTTAACCAGACCCCTATTTCCATCCAATTGTCTCCGCTTGGATTTCAGAAAATACATTCGACGTCAAGAAGCGCGCTATTACAGCAGCGACTTACAACGTTATTGTTCAAATTGGATCCTTGATCGGCTCTCAAATCTATCGCAAATATGATGCACCATATTACAAGCAAGGAAATAAGGTTCTTATTTCCATTTGTGCATTGTCACTTGTAACATTTGTGGCGCAAAGACAATACTTGATTGTGTTGAACAAAAGAAAGGAAAGGGTTTGGGATCAGATGACCCTTGAAGAGAAGGCAGAATATCAAAATGATAGTGCAGCGAGAGAGAAGGATGGTAACAAGAGACTTGACTTTAGATTTAAGTATTGATGTCGGGATCGGTAAAGAGAACGGTCGGATTAAGGGAGAAGAATTGAAAGTGGTATGATGAAGTAGTAGTGTAATAAATTCGGTCTCCACGCACCACGAATAGTGTGAACAAAAATTGGGGTATACGAAAGTCTAAAATAAATATGCGAATGGCTGAAAGATAAAGATATAGTTGGCAGAGGAGATTCTGGAGATGGTGAGTGTACATGCAAATGTATGCATATGTGTACAAAGAGCAGGAAATGATCTTATGAGAATTGATGAACTTTCTTGGAAATCACAGAGGTTGGGCCAAGGCGTTTCAGTTGACCAGGAATGTACGGTTATGGACCTTGCTTCCATTAGCAAGGTTTCCCAGACTGGTTTGTTCAACTTTGTACTGACAGAATAAAAAGTATCCTTCTCCCATCTTTAATTGAAGGCAAGATGTGACCCGCAGAAGATTAAGAAACCAGGGCCATGCTCAGAAAGATTGAGATGGTTGGTAGCGCAGTAGGATAGAGATAAATATAGGTTGGTTAAATTCCTACAACAAGGCTGATACATCGATCAATGCAGCACCTATAAAATGGTGAAACTAAAATCGCACATGGGGAATTAGATCATGTTGCCGCGAAGCAGCCTACGATATATGCTCGTACCAAAAGCCCTAAACCAGCCACATTTCCTAGCTCGTACTTTCGTGCGTTACTAGCGCACCGAATAGAAGTTGGAGTGCTCCTATCTGGTTTGGAACTATCCAGGAAAGCGTCTTGTTAACAAGATGGGAAGTTCTGATAATTTGATCGCAGTCTAGCCGCGAATGCGCAATTAGGGTTGAGAGCGTCCGCGTCAAACAAAATAAGGAAAGGCGTAACGATCAACCCGGAATTTTTGAGACGCACTCGGTATGAAGAGCGCGCGTAAGCTTCTAGAATATGAGTCCAGCCGAGTTTCTGACCTTGAAACAATACCTGGGGGTACCGCTGTGGATATCTGTCTACAATGTCATGTTCTTCAAAGATAAATTTGAAGCATGCGAGATGATAAAGATAGCACCAAGCTATGACCACTCATTCAAATGACATGACGGTCCGATCTAGCTACCAACCTGAATACATAGCCAGTGAGAAGACTGCCTAGGTAAGTGGGTAAAGTTGGGCAATTGTCGTCGAAAAAAATGATGCTTCTGTTGCTTCTCTTGATAAGATGTGAAGGTAGTTCGACCCGGAGTATCAAATCAAATTGAGGCCATTTGTTCCAGAGGACGAGACTTCAAACTGATTCTTCGACCGGATACAAATGCGCTTCTTCTGCAATTCTAGAATTGATACAGAAAAGAGAAACAATTGACCCTCTACTTCGTCGTCGTCGTCGTTGTTGTTGTTGTTGTCGTCGTCTTTGTAGTTCCATCCGTAACTTTACGCGATGCACATGCCCACACATGTAAATTCAAAGTAAACTTTTCCAACGAGTTTTGAGCAAAAGGACAAACGAACTGTAACTCTACCAAGTAGGAACCTAGGTAGGTACTCTAGATGTAATGTTCAAGTAGCCATGTGTATTTCAAAAGCCCATATCCTCATCAAAACTCTTAGTGAAAAGTTTATATGCGAACTCATTATAAGGTTAATTACGGCAGTTTATTTTACGGAGGATCCATGCATGGTAGGAAGTGTTCTGCCGAGACTAGGACCAAACCTTGGAATGAAATGATCACGTGATAATATTTCATAAGTTTTTCATAAAGTGTTGATCTATACACTTTGATTCTTATCGCACGAATCAAAAGATAGTATCAGCTCGAAGTCCCAATCTTATCTGATTTCCTTGAAAAGCGGTGTAAAATCTTCATCTGATTTAATCCAGATTAGGTAACTCTCCATTAGCCTATCAGCCAATAAACGATGTACAATTAGGCACGACCTTATCACGGTCCCTTAGTAGACATAGCTTGGCGATTAGATCCCCTTACACAATTATTTTGGCGGCAACCATTAAGAACCATAGAATCAATTGTCTCGGCCCTGTCCCATGTTGTGCTTCAACGCTACATAAGAATCCATGACCATGATAACCATGATGTATATCCCGAGTCTATTTGAGCGGCTAAAATGAAGATTCAATAAACCACTGCCCATTCACCCTCGAAAATTCGCCTTCGTTTCGCGGTATTATCCCAATCACCAACGTCTCACCTCGTCTTATACACAGAGGATCCTGGGTCGTTGTCAACAGCTAGGACAAGAATATTCTTTCCCTTACCTAGCTACACGTCGTGGGGAACAAAAAAACCTATTACAGGAATCTTTGTCGTCTATCACGAGAAGTTATCAAGTCTCGTGGGCAGAAATCTTCCGTAAAGGTAATTGAAGATGGAGACATGAGAAAGATAGCTGGCTTACACTCACTCGCAGATGGCATCTCCTACTGATACCAACATTGTCAACGGCAACAATCTCGATGCAATGACTTCCCCTTCTACGGGGCTCTCTCCTATTCCGACAATTCCTACAACTCCTCTGCCAAACATTACACCTATCATGTCTTACGATAGCGTCGACACTGCATACAACGCCGATCCATATTCCCTCCTCAATTCTAAGAAAGAAGACATAAGCATTGCTGCACTTCGCACACAACATCCTGATCAAAAACGAACACGGAAGGTTAGAAAGATCAAGCATTTCTACCATAGGCAAAATGCTTTGATTGATGCATACCTAGCAAGCAATGATGAGGAAGCCGCGGAGGTTGAAGATGGAATTCAAAATGGTGGAAAGATTAAATTCGCTATCTATGCTAGTTCTACGGTCAACTTTTGTCTGTTCATCATACAAGTCTTCGCCGCTGTCTCAACTGGAAGTCTGGCGCTTTTCGCCACCGCTGCAGATGCTTTCGTAAGTTTCCAGATTGGTTGCGTACTACGGATGAAGACTAATGTCATATACAGATGGACTTGGTTAGTTCTATCGTGATGTTGATTACTTCACGAATAGCCGCCAAACCTAACATCACAAAATTTCCAGTCGTGCGTAATTCAATCTTTTATGAAGTATTCTCATCTTACGATTCTCTTAGGGTCGCAAACGAGTTGAAACTGTTGGGATTATTCTCTTTTGTGCACTTATGACTACCGTTTCCGTGGAATTGATTATCGAATCAGCTCGAAGTTTGGCAGATGGTCCAAGGGAAAATGAAACGCTCAAAACGGTTCCTCTAGTGTGCGTCGGTGTCGCTATCTTCTCCAAAGCCGTCCTATTCGTGTACTGTTTTACCTTACGGCGATATCCAACTTGTGCAATCTTCATGTTAGATCATCGAAACGACATTGTGGTTAACAGTTTTGGATTGGTTATGTCCATCGTGGGTACTAAGTATGCAAAAGTTTGGTTCTTGGATCCCGCCGGTGCTATTGCTATTGCATGCTTGATCCTATTTTCATGGGCATCAACTGCTTTCGAACATATGTGGCTTCTGGTTGGAAAGAGTGCTCCACAAGAGTTTTTGAACAAGCTCGTATACGTTGCAGTCACTCATGACCCCAGAATTTTGAAGATCGATACTGTAAGGACCCAACTTTTCTATCGGTATTTGGCTATGGCTAACCCCTGATATAGGCGAGAGCGTATTCTGCCGGCGAAAAATACTATGTCGAAGTCGACATTATTATGAGACAGGAAGAAACACTGAAAGTCACACATGATGTTTCCCAAACTTTGCAAAGGAAGCTTGAGGGTATGTTAAATGTAATGTCGTAACATTTTTGGGAAATGCTAACAAAACAGGTTTGGCGGATGTCGAAAGAGCTTTCGTCCATGTTGATTACGATGATCTACATGATATCTTCGAGGAACATAAACCACTTTACGAGATTCAAGAACCAAAAGTTCCCATATACGAGAGAGTTAGAGAAAGATTCAAGAGACAGGCGCCTGGAAGAGAAACAGGTGATGTAATGGGCCCGACGTCTTGAGTATTCATTTATGAAACATCATCGAAGCATGAATAATTATGGACTTAAAACTGAAACGCAATTACAATATGGAGCTTGGGTTTGGGATTTGACTTGGAATTGCAACGACTTGAAAGCAGAACCTTCCCCGCTCTAGTAATTCGCATCACGTTCGAGAAAGGTGCTGATAATCGTGCCCGTCACCTATTGCCCAACAAGCCTCTAATTCCAAAAATGAATTACAGCGAGCCTCTGACGCATAACATTGACAACGAGTCCAAGTGCCAGATTTTGATTCAGGATATTCTCGATCGATTGATATACCGAACCTCTGCCGGAAAATATCAACGAGATCGACACGAAAAAATATTGTGCTGTGGGTCTGAGGCGTTTATTCTTGGCTACAGGGCGGGTAGGAAACTATTCGACAAGATGTATCTATGGAGATCAGACGATGTCAAGTGCAATAGGTTCGCTTATACAACCTCTCGTTGGCGTACACGTATGGCCATCCCAAATTGAGTGGGTTGACTAGCGGGATGTATGAAGCGGATGGAAACCTGGGGGCTGAGTGAGAGAAACGAGCGTATGAAGATTGTCACGATATCAAGTCGAAAGTTGGTGGTTTAGATAGAGCATGATCTCGTTTTTCTTGTCGAGTTGTGAAAATTGGCGGGCAAAGGGAGGAAATGGACTTGTTTTGCGGCGTTGATTGATAAACAGATACCCTGGGCTTTTTACTGCATGGCGTTTATAGCATTAGAGTAATCGAGAAATTTGAGAAAGGGCTTGATCAACAATCTCAATTCGCGTGTTTGATTTACGTGTATGAAGCTTCAAGCGTAAGATATGGTTGAGTGCGACGATAGTGATGTGCGATAGGAGTTGACATTGTTTGTCTGGATATAGGACAGGGAGAGGATCTTCTTTAGTACTAAGATCTTCGATACTAGGTGTTACATAACAAGAGTATCCTCACTGAGTTGGAGCTGATATGGAAGACGATAGAGCGAGAGCTGCAAGCGTTGATCAGTGATAGATTGTTCGATTATCAGCTTCACCACATCTTGTCCGCCCTCTCCTGCTTCTCAGTAGGGAGTGGTGTAAATACTCCTACGTATTCTTAGAATTTGGCATCTGAATAGGTTATAGCGCACCGGGTATAATAGGCTGATGGAAACTTTTGGACGCCGAGGGAAGACAGCTTTGCGATGCATTCGAATGTGTAAAAGAGGAGGAATCTGTTCTTGTGAGGAATTTTGGTGAGTTAAAAGCTTATTATCGTTGTGTTTCTGTTCGATGGAGTGACATGTAGTTGGTTGTAGTCGGTAGTTGTCGGTAGTTGTGAAGGGGAAATGACATGGAGACTGAGATGAGCTTGGAATTTGTTCGGGATTTGAAAAGTTATGCTCACAACAGCTAATGCATCCGGTGTTGACCTGCTCCTGTCCTGTTTTGATTGCAAGTTTCACGACTATTGCCCTTATAACTTTTATATCTGGAGCGAATATCTTATACAGTGTCCACGAAAGCTTTGCGTGCCCCTTTAACTACAAATTGTATACTTCGATCTTGAACCAGATGCTTGAGTAGCGGCTTCGAGGGGACTGGTGGATATGGGTGGAACTTGATGGCTATATTGATAGATTGCTGAGGGGTGTCTTATCATCTTTAGTGCTTGATGTTACCATTCTTCTTGCTGTTATAACTATCGAACAAAGGGTTTAAATTACCGACATTGACGCGGAGATACTTAGAGCTGCGGTAATTATGGGCTCTCAAGTCTAATTAGACAGTAAGAAGGAAAAACGTTTGTAGGCCAAACAAGCCAGGAGTTGAAAGCAGACTTGTTTGCCATATACGGTACTTCTGCATTCAGATGGAGAGATATCTGGGGTCTTAGGAGAGAAATTCAGCGGTGAGTCGAGATTATTTTCATGTTTCTTGCAAATCACCTAGCTTTCCTTGCTACCCTACTACTCTAGCTTTCTTCTTTCTCTATCTAGAACCAACTGAAGCATCTTTTGTTTCCCACTCATGCTTGTAATATATATTAAACAGTTCACAGCATGATTGATACAGCACCATCGGAGTTTCATGCATTTTGTTGGGAAAGAATACTTAACTTATGTATGGATGGTGTGATGGTGATCCAGCTTGTATTTACAACTGCCTCTTCAAGATTAAGGGCGACCCATTTATACTACCTATCATTGAGAGCCCGCAGCATAGATGACGAGTTCAAGACCTGAGCTTTCGAACAAAGATAAATTGCCCACTAAGTCAAGTTCTCTTTATATCCACTCTAATACTGGTAATCATACAGCCAGAAACTTTGCAACTATAAAGCTAGATGCATATACCATAAAATGGTGAACTATATAGGATTAACCTGGCTTTATCAGCCGCGGACTTGAGTATTTGTCAACCGCAGGATCCGCGGGCCGTTGAATGGAATTGCGGAGATGTATCCAGGACAGGGGACTATTCTGCGGAGATTTTAAGAGGAGGGGAGTCGAGAGATTGATCCGGGATTGGTGTGGTGTTATACTTGATGGTCGGAGTATACATGTTGAATCCCTCTTGATGGATCAGTATCAACTTCAACCAGTTTGACTCTTGAGTCATAATTCCCTGGTCTGAGTCCTTTTCAATCGTGTCATTATATGTAATTTTATTGTCTAATACATATTTTGACGGTATTAACACGCTCGAAGACTATATTAAAGATGCACTAGGCCATACAACACTTGAAAAATTACAAAATTCACTTGATGCCTACTTATTGCTATCCTGGCGAAAAGAAATAGGAGCACTGGATGTCAAAGTTTGATGATCATTATCGGCGAATATCAAATCGATGTCGGCTTCTCTCATGCTCGTTATATACATTGCCATTGAAATTACTACCCACCCCTCTGACATATCAATCTAGCCCATCGAACGCACTAAATGAACTTCTTGTTGAACAAAGAGACAAAAGCGATGAATGTGAAATAGAAAAATGTATCCATAATGCGAGCTCCAAGTAACATAATAGATAACGGAACCCTGAGAAGACAATTGAGCAGTTTTGTCGACTATTTAAGAAGTTCAGTATAGCCACAAACAAGGTTTTGTTTGATATGAGGAAGAAGAGGAGGAGGGGATAAAAGAGGAGTCTGACAAGAAGGGTTCAGAAAGGAGAGTAAGGCTTGTGAGATCGACGGCGACCAGAAAGTGTTTTAGAGATCCAAAGGGTCTCAATTTTCCAAACCAAAAAACTCAAATTATGAGTTGAATTCGGACTGAATGCATGACACAGTAGCAAAGGGGCTTCAGCAATCATGGATTTTGCTCCTTAGTGCCATACAATATGTGTATTCTCCCATATATTCCAAACACGGCGAATGAGGTCTATTTATGGAATAGAGGCTGAATAACATAAGCCAAACTTGGTGTGAACGGAGATAGAATCGTTCGAAACACTGTCGAGATTGTATTAATATATAGAATCTGAATAACAAATCCCCTTTGAATTTAAGTAAACTTGAATTATACAATACTTTCAAGTTAGGTGTGAGTACAACTTCGTACCACAATGTCCCCACCGTCGTCCCCACCGTCTACACCGAGCCAAGCTACATTGTATACGAGACAACGTACTCTGTCCACATTAGGACTGCGTGCACGGCCTGTTCATCTAACTTACTTCGGAACTTAACCTTAATACACCTTATTGGGAAGAGACTTTATTAAGAAACACGTCGTCCTCGCAGCATCGATGTCATAGTGAGATTTGAGGCAACTACATACGTACCCTGTATGTGCAACGTCGAACGAGGATCTCTTCCTTTGGAGTACTCTGAACTGATCTCCCTTATAAGAGTAGATTGCCAAAGAATAACAATGTGATGTGTGTGCTTATAGTTTCTATACTTTTCAGACTCTAGAAAGATCCACTCATGGAAACCAGACATTCTAGACCAACGCTACCGTTACTAGTTTGTTATTGCCGTCAACATTTATCAGTTGTTCAGAGACTGTATGAACATTGCGTGTTTCGAAACATTTTGAGAATTGGCAATTGGTAATAGTATTGCGTGGTTCTTGGCTCTGCGGTTTTTTCAGCTATAGAACTTCTTGAAAAACCTGAGTGTTTTCTTAATATCGTGTCGAACTCTTATGCATATCATCATCGACCCATAGATCACATACTTCGTAGTTATTATTGATCTTTTTACCAGGTACGTCTCGGGACCGAACTCATTATTCCAAGAAATAAGAGAAGATCCTGAGTTCTAAGCTTTAACCTAGATTGTTTAGCGTACACTAGTGAAGTTATCTTATCAGATTCACACGCGCAGTCGGTGATATATTGAATGCAGGGGCGGAAGGATGGTTCCGGTAGTTAGTATTTTCTCGAGAAAAAAAAGATCTCACGACCCCCTATTTAATTTAACAGCCGACGCATCATAACCCCTGACAAGTCTAATCCGAATTGACAAGCGTTGATAATCGCTTTTACTTTCCTTTGTCGAGTTTAAATGGCTTTCAAAAGTTCACTCAACAAGGGTTGATTATCTATGTATTGATGACGCACGAATGAGCAAAACAGCCACGCATGCTAGGTAGGTAGGCCGATGCGAGAGAGGGATATCCTTGAATGAAGATTTGGTCATAGACTTTGATTAGTCTTTTCATCGTGTCCAAGGTATTTGATTCATCATCCTTCAAACCAGAAAATGAGTATAACTTTATAGCCTCTCAGTAGATCTTGTGGTCAATCTGAGATTTACGCACCATAGGTGTGGCAAGCCGTTAGTTCTTATGGGCGAACCCCCTTCCCGCTAGTGGAAGACGATTTGACTCGCCTAGTTCGGTACTTGTCCGGTAGTTATACCGGTACTACCCATTTATTTTCAACAAGCTGGGTACGGGGTACAAATGACCCTATTATTAGGATCCAATGATTCATTTGTATGTGCAGAAAGATTTCGTTTAGTGGCATAACAAAAGCGGGGACACATATTTCATCTCGTACACCTTCGTACGTAGCCTACTCCCAAACTCTTCAAAGATTCAACCTGAGCGACTTGATCTAATCGAGTCACTCTCACTACCATATCCACTACTATTCTTAGATTTGATCTTCTCTCTTACCATTTCAAACAGATTTCTAGTATCAGCACTGAAATAGAAGTGCATTTGATTTTTGATTGTAGAGCCACAAAAGAATACGTAGAAAACTTCCTTAGGCTGAAGAAATCGCCAAGACTGTGACATGGAGACCCATTGGAGCTCACGAATCCGATTACGTGTCTTAATAACATGGGTGTTGTTCGCTTGATCTCAGGAAGCGAGGTCGTGTATGTGATTTTGATAATAAAGTCCAGCAGGCACAAATGATAAATATATAAGACTATACTTGGCTCTAGAACTAAAATCAACCGAACTCACTCCCAATCATCACCTTCAACCCTGTTAATCTAACAGCTTCATTCTTTCCAAGTTTCTCATCACATTCTTTTCCAGGCACCATGCGTCAGTCAATTGCTTTGGCTGCAGCTGGCGCTGCCACTGTTAAGGCTCTATCTCTAGCCGACATGTGCACAGTCGCAAACGTTCAAGCAGCACTTCCTGCGGATGGATCCATTCCAAATATCACAATGATCGCATCATCTGTTTCTGCATCCCCTGTCTATAACGCGAGTCTTAGCAGCGGGATGACCAAGCGCGACACAACTACTTACAGCTACTGTAACGTCACTGCTACTTACACCCACGGCAGTGATTCTGTCATTGTTTGGTACGGATTCCCAGATCCATCTATCTTCGAGAACCGTTTCTACGTCGTTGGTGGCGGTGGTTACAGTTTATCATCAGGTGTAACTGGAGGTCTTGAATATGGCGCTGTTACTGGCTGCACTGATGCCGGTTACGATGCTTTCACTACCAGCTTGGACGCAGTCGTACTCAACTCTGACGGTACTCTCAACGAGCAAAACGTTAAGATGTTCTCCTACGAAGCCCTTGGTGAGATGACCGCCATCGGAAAGGCTATCACCAAGACTCTTTATAGCATTGATAAACTCTATACCTACTTCTCTGGCTGCTCTGATGGAGGACGTCAAGGTATGAGTCAAGTTCAACGTTACGGAGATCTGTACGACGGCATCGCTGCCGGAGCCCCGGCTTTCAGACAAGCCCAGCAACAAGTTTTGCATCTCTTCTCTTCTGTCGCCGAAGTTGTTCAAAACTACTTCCCAACCAATTGTGCTCTCGACAAGATTGTAAATGCTACCATTGAGGCATGTGATCCATTGGACGGGCGTACTGATGGGGTTATTAGTCGTTCTGATCTCTGTAAGATTAATTTTAACTTGACTTCTATCATTGGTCAATCATACGCATGCGCAGCCGAGACCAGCTCTTCTCTCGGTTTTGGTTTCAGCAAGCGTCAAGATGCAGGTTCTACCACCACCAGTAGCCCTGCTCAAAATGGTACCATTAATGAGCAGGATATTGCTATTGCCCAGACCATTTATGATGGTCTCTTTACTTCTAGTGGCAAGCGCGCATATCTCTCATTCCAAATTGGTGCTGAGCTTGAGGATGCTGTTACTGAGTATGACAATACCACTGGCAGTTATACCTACGAGATCCCATCTACCGGTGGAGTTTTCGTCGCCAAGTTCCTGGAGCAAATCGATGAAGACAGTCTTACCACACTCGAGAACGTTGATTACGATACTTTGTTCGAATGGATGGAAGAGGGACTCGCAAAATTCTACGACACCCTTCAAACTACCATGCCGGATATTTCCGCTTTCAGAGACAACGGTGCTAAGCTCCTGCATTATCACGGAGAATCTGATCCATCAGTTCCAGCTGGCTCTTCCGTCCACTACTATGACTCCGTTCGCACTACCCTTTACCCAAGCCTCGGATATAACGAATCTGTCGCCAAGCTCGATGACTTCTATCGTTTCTTCTACATTCCAGGAGCTGCTCACTGTAACACCAACTCTCTCCAACCGGGTCCATGGCCCAATGATGTTCTCGCCACTTTGATTAGCTGGGTCGAAGATAGCGAGGTTCCGGACCGTTTAAACTCCACTGTTACCTCTGGATCATACGATGGCGAGGTTCAATTGTTGTGCAAGTGGCCAACTCGCCCACTCTGGACTTCCGAGACCACATTTGACTGCGTTTACGACCAAGCGTCTATCGACTCTTGGACTTATGTCTTCGATGCATTTAACCAAACAATTTATTAGAGGGTGTGAACAAAAGTTCAATTGCCCGATGGAGGCGATTACTGAGCTTTCAGGAGGTCTACAAGAAGTGATGGGCTATTTTCGTGGAGTCACCTTTTGAGCTGCCCTGTAATTTTTCCTGTATATCTTCGAATTTTCCATCATTTCAACCCAAGTTTGATTAGAAGAGAAGGTATGACTTTTCCAAGACGCATCTTATCATATTTTGTATATAATCATTCCATATTCACTCTACTTCAGACCAACTTTTGCGATACGTGCATCTTCAAGTCGTGAAGCATGGAACATAACCCTTCAATTCAAACCATAAGCACTGATTGTAATCATAATATTGGATTAAAAATTATGGTAACTATGATGAATAAGAGTGCCTACGGGATCAGAAACCTACTTAGTCCTGTGCTTGGCGAAACCATAAAGAAAAGGAAACCGAATAGACAATTTATAGTTACACTCGATGCTTCGAGCACCACCTCACACTGAGGGACCATGGTGTGTAAGTCTTCTATCATTATCATTGACTTGATCATATCTCCATTTCTCCTCTGCAACCTCAATCTCTGCAACCTCAATCTCTGCAAGCACAGTCCTCCTTCTCACCACCTCTCCTCCACCCCTTCCACAAATTAGGACATCTCCACGCAATTTTTTGATTTGAACATCCTAGCAAGATCCCCCATAACCTCTCAACAGTATACCCTAAATGCGGTTTCTCCAAACTATCTTTCTCGCCAAACATCTTCGCATTTCTTCCTTCCGGGCCCAACTTCAATCTATCGTGAGCCCAGCCCCTACTTAGTGAAGGGTTTGAGAGGGCATCATCCAGAGTTTCCCAGATGTCTTTCCCAACTCCCCGAATGCGCGCCGCTGAAGCAATAAAATTGTTTCCATGTGTTAAGATCGCTTTCTGGCATCTGTAAGGCGTCTTGTCCTTTTCAGCAGGACGAGATGCAGACCACATACTTGGGATGAGTCTAAATGTATCATTCCAGCCACTTTTATCGTAACATCCATAACAGTCACATGTTTCCAGTTCTCCTAAGTTGAGGAATCCAGTCAATATATCTGAGTTCTCTGCTGCTGGTGGTAGCTGAGCGGGGTTGTAATAATCGAATAATCGGCGACCGATGAGATCAAAATCATCAATTGTATGTTGAGACGTGGTGATGAAAAGAGTTTGCGTAGGTAAATTGTCCCAGTTCTTTAATATATGATGGAGGAAAACGCCAGATGGACCTCCAATATTTGGAAGAGGATATATATCCCCAAAACCCACTTCAGCTCGAATTTTCTTCACAATGTCTTTGGATGGATCTTTCGTATAGATCAAAACATCTGGCTTATGAGCCACAACAGCAGGCTGTGAACTCAAGATTCCTGTTACTATTCCTTTAATTGCAGGAATTGATTCACCAGCTGAGTGAGCGATTACAATTTGTAGACGATTTTTCGTTGCCGCTCTGTAAATTGTATCCAAAGATGGAGACTTGGGGCCTGTCCAAAATTTCTGGTCGTGGCGGATAGAGATTGTATCCATCCAGTAAAGTATCCCCGTCGAACTCAGGATGGTAAATAAAATGGTGGTGGTCCAGAGTAATATGGGCTTATGCCATATTGGGTAAAGTTTCCGAGCTGGTATTCCAGATTTTCGTCGTATGGTGTAGACAAAATTCACGAATTTGGGAATGTAGAGGCTTATTTCTTTTGGCCCCAGACTAACAAGGTAGATAAGCATGAACACAAAGATTTGGAATCCGTTCATTGTGTTTTCTTCCTTGAATGTACTCATGAGCATTAGTCCCAAAGAAAGGTGAACTGTCGCATCAATTGCGTCGGGAACATTTTCTTCGGTGGATTCATAGGGTGACTTCGAACCGATAGAAAGTGCCAATGTTGATCGTAAAGGAGTATTCCAAAGAACATGAGTCAATGCTCCGGGGGTCAGATTCTTCACGAAGGTCAGGAATTGCCAAGTCCGAAGAACCGAGAATGCCTCCCCGAGGTCTTCATATCTGTACGCAGCGAGAATGGTGACGAGCAAACATGGAGGTAATCCACCCCAAAGCATAAAATAGAGTGAGGCTCCATAAGAAGGATTTGTGGGAGATGGTACTTGATATCCAATCGCTGCTATCGTCCTTGCCAGACTGACAAGAAACATACCAAGTATGGCAAACTGAAATGCTTCGATATTGAGTCGATAATCATTGTAGACAATCATGGAGGCAAGGCAAAGGATGCCGATAGCCCAAACGACGATGGTTCTGTCAAAGCCTTGGTCACGGGGAGTAGCCGTAAGTCATATGCTAGACTGAATAGCAAAGCATCGAACGCATACGTGAGTATCTGTTGGAGTGTCAGAAAACGCCGACAGGATAATAGACAGTCTACGTACTAATAATGTAGCAAATACAGCCAAATTGTTGAAAAGCATGATCGCTTCCGCGTTGTATATTAAAGCAACCATCGAAATGAATACCGTGAGGCAGTATCTAGTTAGAATGAAAAGACCTTGTAGAAATAACGGACCGCGACTAGGGTTTAAATCCGGGACGCTCGTGAAGTAGTCGACAAAACTTGTCAAGACCGCGAAAATGCCCAAGGCAAAGTATGCGGCGGTTTGCAATAAAACAAGAAAACATATTGCTAATCACGAGTAAGTCATCTGATTGGAAAAGATAGTTATCCAGAATAAAAAGGGGATGTGCTTCATGGAGGAACAAAACTCACGGTATCCTACAAAAGGACTGTCAGCATGGTTCAAACAAAAAGAATCGAGTACAAAGTCTTACGAAAATCAGCGATCAGAAGCCTCCTCGTCGTGAGTATAGACCAAATGCTAAACCCTATCCAAATCCTGTATTGCTCGATTTAGCCCCATTCAAATAAACCTCAAGAGGGTATACATACCAAGGATTTACGATTCGCCATCTTCGTCTCCATCTTCCATTCTCCGGGCGAATCGGAATTTTCTCTAATGCTTCTTCCTCATCCCTTCTCATAAGTTCATAATCATCACCGCCATCTCTTTCATTAAGTTCCCTTTCTTCCATTGCTGCTACTACCACTCCCAATGTTGGAGGATTTGATACACATCGCCTAGAGATTGCTTTCGTTTTGTTTTGTTGTTGTTATCGATGGTGATGTAAATAAACTTTGGTCCCACTATCTAGTGTATATCCTAGTAAAAATCAGTACCATAGAAGCAATTCTATTAAAGATTTGCAGTTTCAATGAATGAACTGATGTGATTTGATTGTTTATGGACGACAAAGACTCAATCCGCAAAATCTTCTTATAGCCGAAAGTAGCATATTGAAGAGTAGTCAAGTCCCTATTGAATGTTGAGGACTTACCTCCCTGAAAAACTTGAGATGATATTATGATACTGTTTACCAGTTGTAACTCGTGGTGATATATTGCAAAGTGCTAAAAATAGTCTAAACTTCAATGCGCCGCCCGTACTTTGTTGGTAGTCTGTACTCTGTAGGTGTTTTTGGAAACTAAGGAATCGATTGATCAACAGCCAGTACAGTGTATGATACAACATTTGAAGTCTGGCTCTCGAATTTATGCCTAGGGACGCTTTGCTCAATACTTTAATAAAAGAGTCGCTAGCAAAGTCGCGATCGAGATTCAAGCTTCATCAAACGCGTGAGCTTCCAATCATTCTAGCATCCTAGCTGGCCATTCACTATTGTTGCCTAGGTATCAAGAGATTAGACGTTACTGTGTGATGTAAAGGCACCTCTTCGACCTTATTTTTCTCTAGCAAGATTACATTTAATCACTAGAATATGGCAAACATAGATCGTGTGAATGATGGGTTTGAGATGGGATAAGTTATCATTGTCACGTGATTCAACATCAATTTTGGAGTGCGACCTAGCAAAAATTTCCCTTTCTCTAGATTCATCTCATCAACAACAAACAGAAGTTCCAATTGCTTCCACAGAATTGTGTCAATGTCTAAAGTAGCAAGACTACAAAACCTACTTCCTCGAGCACCCCGAATCATTCGAGAGGAAGATCCTTCCTCTCTTGTAACTTTCGCCGCATCCGGACCTAAGAAGCGTCCTCGCAATGAGGCAGCATGGGCCCATCACTTCCAGAAACAAAGCTCTCGACTAGTCTTAACACTTGATATGAGCAATGAAGCAACAGATTTTCGTAATCAACTCAAGGAAAAATATCTTCATCGATGGGGAGGTTTCCCGGATACCCGATTCGAACTTATAGATCCCTTGCCCGACCGCCATTTTTATATAAAGATGTACAAAGATACAATCAATGACTTTTGTGCAAAAGGCCCACCAGAATTTCCTGTCGGTCCAACAACGAATTTTTTTGTTTCCGAGGAACCAAGAGTCTCTGGTCTTGTTGAGCGCGTATACCAGAAAGAATCCACCCAAGGGAAGCAGGTTGTATCCAAGGAACCATCCAGGGGACATTTCTTGATTATGACGAGTTTCCGCAAAGGATCGGTGGTTCACCTACTTCGTGATTATTTCATAAAGGAATTCGGCAAGTTTCCAAACGAGGAAGTCCAAACAATTATGAAGAACGTGGGAAAAGAAAAATTCAAAGTTCACATGCCGTTAGGATATTGTAAAGATATGGGAATGCTGTGTGCGGAAAGAACAAAGGATGATATTGCGCGTGAATTTTTAGGAACTGAAGGTCTTCACTTGGGCACTGCTGTGAGTTTAAGTTTATGGCGTAAGCATTACGACGCAAATCCGGAAAGGAAATGGGGTGATCCGGTGCTGGTGGATCAGGAATGCGTATATTCAAAAGCGCTTGAAGGGACATCAAAAAAACCTTCATCCTCGTTTGTTTCCCTCGCTCCCGAGAAACAGTCTACGAAGGAAACTCTAGAAAGCCGCGATGACACCTAAAGTCGGACATCAAGCCCCAATACTCCGAATTGAAGGAAAACCGAACTGATAAGAGTTCGATCCAGAAAGGAAATTCAAAGTGCTCAAATTCATCTAAAGAATTTGGAGATGTTTAACAAAGGGGAGAAGGGAAGAAACGACATCTCCGGTAGAAAGCACTGTCTCTTAGAACAGGCATACTTCACCTGAGTAAGGGAAGCACTGTTGAAGGACCCGCTGCGGGAAGCTACATAAGTCATCTCAAAATTGTTATGTGGGCACGTCTCAAGGTAACTTCTGGCAAGTTACGGATAATGTGTGAAGTTATGGGAGATGCAATGCATGAGGCCATCGCACAGAACGAACAATTTTTCCCTCGAGTAATCAAATACAATTGATCAAAGAGATATAACCACCAACGGCAGTGCAGTATTGAGTGTGAGACAGGACATACATATTTGTTTGGACGTCAATATTTACTATGATAGTCAAGAATGAGGCTAAGATGGTATAAAACATGGACACAATTCTTATAAGAAACCATCTCCGGGAGATCAAGACCATTTCAAGAACTTAGTTGATCAATTTCAAGTATTACGGCAATGAATATCCTGAGGATAGAAATAATTATAACGCCCACGAAGTTGAAAACATTGGTACAGAGATCTGATGGCGGGAATGCAAACAGCAAGAAATCACCCGGTGGGCCTATTGTTACTGTATCATGAATCGTGTAAATTCTTAAATCTATGTCTTTTGACTCTTATCTATCCCACATATCTACCTAGTAATACAAATATTAATCGCTCAGCAAACTCCGTATGGTTGAGCCTCCTGAGTCCAATCAATGAACCCATACTCTTTACACTCTTTATCAGCAGCCATCTTTGCGCCCCAAATACCCATCTCTTTCTTGAAAATCTCTACATTCTTTTCAATGCTCAAATCAATAGGTTCCTGATCCTTTCCAACTTGTCTCATTTGGGTACCGGCCGCAATGTTAGTGAACAAGAAATCGTTTTCATCCACAGCCATCTTCTTAGCACCAGTAACTCTTCCCTCCAAGATGTCCTTTGGAAGTCTGAACTCTTGAGCTGCAGGTCGTGCAATACCGACACCATCAACGGTATCTAATGCGGAAACCATAGCACCAACAGTCTTGAATCCACCGGTAACATATGTCTTGGTCTTGGTCAAAGGCTTGACAATCTCCTCTGCGAATTCGATGAAGAAATTCTCTCTCTTCTTAGTTGACTCGCGCTTGTGAACGAAAGCAGTTTCCTGGTATGTTCCACCGGAAAGTTCAACGTAATCAAATCGTGCACCCTCAAGTGCTTGACAAGCAGCCTTAGCATCTTCAGGTGTGAATCCATCTTCTTGGAACTCAACACTGTTCATCTTGATACCAACGATGAAATCTGGCTTGACTCTCTTATGGATTTCATCTGCAATTTCTTGAATGATACGGAATCTGTTCTCGAGCGAGCCACCGTATTTGTCGGTTCTCTTGTTTGTAGTCTTGGAGAGAAACTGTGCGAGGAGGTAACCGTGGGCACCGTGGAGTTGAATACCATCAAAACCGGCTTTCTCGAGGTATTCTGCTGCGTGAGCGAACTTGTCGACTATACTGTTGATATCCTCTTGGGTCGCTGGACGTGGCTTGTTAAAGGACAATCCCATAGGGTTCCCTGTATAGTCGTTATTGTTAGTATAAACTCGAGCAATACGCGAGGTAAACTTTGGGGAAAGTAAATGAAACGAACCTTCTAACTGAACATCACTGGCAGAAATAGGATTTGGTTGAATTCTGTTCTCGACCTGGCGTCCAGGATGACTGACTTGTGCAACCATCAAACTTCCATGAGCTTTTCCTGCCTTTGCCATTGCTGAGAATCTTTCGAATCGTTCTCCTTCGAATGGAGCTTCTAACGGAATAATTGGGTTACCCATAGCTTCCAAATGATCATATTCAATCATAACGTTTCCAGTCAAGATTTGTCCGTATTCTCCCTCGCCCCATCTCTTGTAGACATTGACGAGGTTTGTGGATGGAATTCCTCTAGACTTGAAGTCCTTTGGGTCCCATGATGACTGACGTTCAGTCATGGCTCCCTTCAAAAATCGATTTCGTGCAACTTTGCCGGAGAATTCGTATTTGAGAGGCTTTCCGAGAGGAGAAGCGTCAGAGCTAGATGATTCGTATCTGATAGACATCTTGCTAATATTTTATATGCTGATAGTATTGATGAAGTATGAAAGAATGTAATTTGAGCAAAAATGCTCATCAAGTTCTTCGGGGGACTTTCTTATATCATGTCCCAGCATCGCTCTCAAACAGTAGTGCCGGAGCTCAAGTGGGTACAAAATCGTGTACATTTCGAATCATGTATATTTCAAATCAGATTTGAATTTCTAATTGTACGGAGTATGGAGCATTTCCTCAATTCCATTTAGACGTCATGAAAGTAACTGACCAATCAAGAAAGGAAATGGGAGGGGCATGCCTAGGAAATGCCTTGAAAATGACGGTGAAAGGGCCACATGAAGGTTGGAGCGGAATTTATTAAATCTTCGGCTTTTGGTGATAACACTTGGAACTAGCCTGTGGGCTTTCTCCACTATCACTAGTAATGGAAGTTTCTCGAGGGTCTTTCGGTGGCCAACTTTGCCTCGGATGATATTGTTGTACCGAACGACTTCTGCTTAGAATAAATTGACTGGAATTAAATGAAAAATGGACACGGAGGAACGAATGCAAAAGGGGCTTTTCGCTTGAAGTCAGCACAAAGTGTCATCTAGAGATATCATCATAAATAATTGAAATTTCTGAAGTTAAAATCCTGTCTATATTTGATCCAATGTCTTCATATCCAGTCCTTGAAGAGATAAAATACATATGACATATAAATAAAATGATTCAGACTTTTCAGCGCATGATGCGTTCCATGTATCCCAAATTAATTACCAATAAACGCCGATTTACACCGCCGTGATGTTCAGCTCAATGCGCAGCCCAAAGCCCATTGCAAATCGGAATCTCGTGCCGCTCAAGGAGAGATGATTTTTATGTTTTCCACATTTCGTTGGAAGATGGCATTGATATCTCAAAATTCATTTATCATGATGCTTCGTTCATTTGAAGCATGTGTCCCATCTTCTCAATCTACAAAGTACGCATGTTAGACCAAATCCCATTTCACATACGCTTCAGAGTATAACATACCTTAGTTTTTAGATACCCGCCTACCTCCTGACTGCGAATTCCACCAGTCTTTCCACTCCAAGCCAAAGGAACCATGGCGACTCTCTCTTTTACCACCACTTCTCGATTTGGCCCCTCGACTGCTCGTATCTTATCCGGATTGTTCGTCAAAAGTTTGATTTCCTCAACTCCTAAATCTTTCAACATAGCAGTAGCCAATCCATAGCTGCGAGCATCTGCCGGATGTCTCAGAAGTAGATTTGCTTCCACAGTATCAGATCCCAAATCTTGTAAATTGTATGCCTTCAGTTTCTCTCCCAAGCCAATACCTCTTCCCTCTTGTCGCAAATAGATTATGATACCACCCGCGGCTTGCCCGGACGAATTGGGTAAAGACATTAATCTTGCAGCTTCATCCAATTGCTCACCGCAATCGCATCTAGCAGACCATACAGTCTCTCCCGTGTAGCATTCCGAATGAATTCTAACCAGTGGTGCCTCGGTCTTGTCTTCTTGCTGTTCTCGATCCTTCGCCGAAGGAGGCATGCTACTTGTAGTGCGACCTGGAAATAATCTTCCCGTGTATGCCCCACGTATCAGCCTGTCCATTTCCGTTTCTCCTTCTCGTACAGCATCCAAGCTTTGACTGCGTATTTTGTTTCCAAATACTATGGCTAGATGCTCTTTATTATCCTCATCGTTTTGGTATAAGTGCAGAAACATTTCAGTTCCAGTAGTTGTAGGAATTCGTGCGCGAACTACACAGTTGACCTCTGGTAGTCTCTTTAACAGTTTTGGTTTTTTTGAACCACATCCTCCAGCTGGTGTACTCGAGTCTACAGGTACTGATCTTGCAGGACGATGTGCGAGAGATGAAGGTGTGGATGTGCCGGGTGTGGAAGGGGGTGTAAAGGCTGGGGAGACGAGATCGGGTAATGATTCATTGTGATCGGAAAGCTGCGAGGACGTATCATCACGACGAGTGAGAGAGAGATTAGATACATCGAGTTGATTTAAGTCAAGTTCTGATATTGCGCGGGAGACTGGTATTGGGCGAGGTGAATAGAAGGGTGGGAGAGAGGGGACTTCATCCGATGATTCATGAGGGGTATGGCTCCATTGTTGAGGACGAGTGGAGGGTGAGGTTGCGTTGAGGTCCGGCATTTTGGATGTGAAATCTGATCTAGAAGACAGTAACTCTCATCAAGAGTAGAGGATTAACAAAATCAAGGTATTATTAATGCTGTGATTATGATTGCTGGTGTATAATGAAGTTTGGATATTGATTAATTGTGTGATTAATGGACAAAGTGAGTGATAAGTTATAAGAAGTTCCGATACCCCGAGGTCGGGTCCTATAATCATTGATAAAATTATGGGGCATAAGCTATCAATTATACTAAATTCTAGAAGGCTGACTGAAGGCTGAGTGAGCAAGAAGCATAATGCACCAGTGTTGCTGGGAATTAATAAATGATTACCAATTTGAATTTTAGATATTAAATAATGACCGACAAGATCAAATTCGGACGTATTATTTATTTATACATCTTGTTTCCTTTGATCTCGGATGTAAAGTATGATGAGGTCAGTTTGGGCAAGACATCTAGACTCTATTTGCCCGTCTTTTTACCATCCATCCTTAATGATCCGGATCAAAACGAATATTTTCCGAAACAATTCCGACTTACATGTATCAATACTGCAGAAATTCGGATGCACCGCATATCGCACATGCAGTGTGTTACACCTGGGTTTCCTGTAAAGTCGTGGCTTCTTTGGGGCTGCATTTGACATCTACTCGAGGCTCCATTGCAGCATGGTGAAATTAATTTTACCCGTGGAATTGCGGTAAATTTCCAGATATTACTAAGTTTTGTTCTCCGTGGTCTTATTCTATCGAGGTATATCCATTATTCGTATGGCCACGAATTCCATTTGCCTGCATCCAAGCTTCTAATCTGAGCTCTTCACGCCGCTATGTAAATCAATCTTACCATCGATTTCCGCTCTCTCCAAAGCGCCAGGTTCTTCAGGATTTATACCCAAGCGTGCAGCAGCCTCGATCTCGACCATAGGCCCCACAAACCATTTCCTAGCCCAAACCAACCACGCTCCACAGGCCCCGATAGCAATAATTCCCACGGCCACTACGGTGTAGTTTACAGTTTGGCTTGTTACCGGATTGGTCGTAGGGAGACAAAAGATCACTGTAATAAACCCTATCCAGGATACAGAAATGAAAGCGACCGGCCTTGAGAAGATTCCAAGATTGAATGGGCCCTTCCTAGCGTTGAACTCCTTCGAATAGATGAGACCGATGAGGATAGGGGTTCCGTATGATATGTACAGACCAATGGTAGCTATACTAGTCGCGGCAGCAAAAGCTACACTGGAGCCAAGAGATGGGAGTGCTAGGCAGAAAGCAAGAGTTGCTGCGAGCCAAACTGTTCGAATAGGAGATTGAAAACGATCATCGACCTTGTGAAAAAATTCCGGCTGATTTGTTGTTAGCGTTGACTAGTAGTTAATGAAGGAGTGGAAAGGAAAACTTACAATTCCACCGTCTCTAGCAAACGCAAACATCATTCTTGAGTTTGAAGTCATCGAAAAGAGCCCACAATGCCAGACACAAATCATAATCAGACACATTAACACAACCGCTCCATCGGTTCCGAATATATCAACGAAAATTTGAATAACCGGTTGACCATAATCACTTGCAACTGTGTTATCAAAGTCTTGAATACTGAATAAGAAGCTCAATATAACGAAGAATCCGAAAAGGGCAGAGAACCCAACAGAAGAAATAACACCGATGGGTGCACTCCAAGACGCATTTCGAGTCTCTTCAGATAAGTGGGCTGATGCGTCAAACCCAGTGAGCGTGTATTGGGCCATGAGAACACCACAGCAAGCCACATATGCTGGAGATGCTCTAACACTCCATCCAGGACTCGGATCTACACCTGTTCCGTCGTAGAATTTGGCGAAAACAAACTTCGCGCTTTGATGTGTAGGGGCTTTGGCCAGAACAGCAATAGCTATTGCAGTTACGCCCAATGAGTGAAGTGCGATGGATGTGTTGTTTAGGTATCTCAATACGTGAACACCAAAGGTATTGACGATGCCATGAGAAACGAGGACAGCTGCATATATACCGATTGTTCTTGGGGCACTTGGAACATATGATGATTTAATTGTCGCAGTTGTTGAGATGAGACCCGCGAGGCCGAAACTAATACCTGTAGTGACGGCAACTTGACCGAGGAAGTTGAACCAACCAGTAATCCAACTCGCAAAAGCCGAATGATTCCTCGGCGCAAGAAGGGCTGCCCAATAATACGGTCCACCAGCTGTGGGTATAGCAGAGACAATTTCTGCCATGCTCAAAGCGATCATGAAAGTAAATACGGATACAATTATCCATCCAACAGACATGACTGATTTTGTCAGAGACCCACAACACAGAATAAGAGCATAGGAAACACATACCTCCAGGACCACCGGTGATCAAGCCATACGAAAACAGTGTCGTTATCCCAGTGATGACGGACTAAAGCGATATTAGCAAGACTTCCTATAAGATGACAAGGTAGTTTGCAGCATTGATGATGCTTCACAAAACAACGCCTGATAATGAATTTGTAAAGCAGTGTTCGGTTTCGCATTTTGCCATATCAAAGACCCAACTCGCATGTCTAGACAAATACAACTTACAATGATACTGAAAGAAATCCCAAAGTTGTGCATAAGACCCCAATCTCTCCTCAACTCCTGTTTGTATCCAAACTCTGCCAATTCCTGTTCATCATGTTGGTCTCCCCGGGATACTCTGGAAGCTTGTCTTCCAATCGAAAGTTCTGGATCAACTTCCATTGTGCTTCAAAGACGCATGAATTTAAATTACAAGAGCTTTCCGAAAAAGATAAATTCTATGCTTTGATGAAGAGATGACTATTATACAGACACTGCATGCAATTCTAGACGGCATCGCCGAGTTCTTATGCACCTGCCAGCATTACATGTTGACTGATTGTGGCCCTGTCAGCCTCCCGATAAGAAGCTCTGGGGAGTTCATGTGGCTAATCCATGATTGGTCAATTTGGGGGAGGTATTGAATTTAGCGATAGTGAACGATAGGAGGATGGGAGAATCAAGTTAAGCTTGCAAGCCCCCAGTCGTAAGAAATGATCCAAGCTTATGATTGATTATGATTCTTGACTAACAACATGAACTTACTAAAGGGTGGGATAAGGATTGTAGGTATAGATAAAAGTGAGACCTGAAAAGAGATAAAGTCATACATTTGAGATTGCGACGAAGATTAGGAAGATGTTAAGTTTAAAACTTAGATGGGACCCTCAGGAATCACTCACAAGCCTTGCTATCGGTCGGACCAAACTGCCTGAAGAGGAATGGCTTTATGATGTCCATATATCGCAGAAGTATTTCCAAACATGCAAGGAGAAAAACCTTATTTCATTCATGAAGTCGTTACTTGGATATATCCGTCCGCTCAATTAAGCTTTAGAGCTTCTCTTTTCCATCCGCGTCTTCTTTGCCTTGCAATTCACAGAATGCCTTGAATGTGGTGAATTCTTCATCCTCAGCCTCAAGTATTACCTCTGCTGTAGCTCCAACAAAATAGACATACCCAGGTTTAACTTCCTCGACCTTAGGTCCGACACTAATCTTACCATTTCCGGTCGTGCAAATGAATATGCTAGGGCCGGCAATCTGTTCGAATGTTGCTTTTGCCCCCTTCTTCTTGAGATCGGTTTTCACCACGCTGAACTCTGCAATAGGTGGATCATAGAGTGTCGCTGACGATCCAGAAGAGTATGCAGTCGCATTGAGAGTGGCATATGGATAATCCACTGGTTCCATCTTTTGTTCAGAAATAGGCGCATATGAGTAAGTCAACATCGAAGTCAAAGTATCGACGTCCTTAAATTTCGGCGTGAAACCAGCTCGGACTACATTGTCGGATGCAGCCATACATTCAATGATATCGCCACTCAGGTATGCATGGATATCATCCGCCTTCAAGAACATTGCTTCTCCGACTTCGAGTTTGACGTAGTTCAGAAAGAACTGTACGAATAGTCCAATGTCCCCTGGAAATTGTTTGTTCAATCTGATGACAAGATCTGCGAGTTCTTTTCCTTCATTTGATGGGCCACCTCCTCCAGCGAAATCATCCCCTTCTTCTTCCGCTGAAGCAACTAATTCCTTACTAGCGATCTCAACATCTTCTTTCTTTGCATTCATCAATGCAGTAAAAACTTTTTGCAGCGCTTTCTTATTCTTTGCCTCGTCCTCTGATTTATCCGATGTTTCTTGTCCCTTGACAGCGGATTGGTATTCTTCCGCTTCGGACTCCCCAACTAATTTCTTCAATGATGGAATCGTTGAGAGGAAATGCGAAATTTCTGCAAGAGGTCTAAATCCGCAGAGTCCATCAAAAGGTGTAATGGCAATTGTCATTTCAGGTTTGTGATTATCGTCTGGGTAGTTTTTGCTGTCTTTTTGATGCAATTGCTCCGCGAGTTTCTTATTTGGATGCGCTTGAATGCTGAGTGCTTTTCCTATCGAAAGCACCTTGAATAGGAATGGTAACTTTTCGCCGAATTTATCACTGACATCTTTAGATAAGAGTGCTTGATTATCTTGAACGAGATCGAGGAGCGTTCGTTTTGTGGTAAGGTCCTTGGAAGGATTTGAAGGATGTGTTCCCATCCACAACTATGAAGAATGAGTTATAAAATTATGTACATGAACATGAAGAGCTACTTACTTCAGCATATGGCTTCTCTTCTTGAATAGAGAAATCATCGGCAGGTGTAGCAGCAGCAAATTTTGCAGCAGCTGAATCATTTCCTACCTTACCCCAATCATAGCTATTGACTCCGCATTGAAGCCTGATCAATGGAACTTGCATTTTGGCTCTGGGGAGATGAATTAAGGAGGGTAGATTGTTGTTTGACCCGTTGTATGAGATAACTGACAAATCGGTTCTTCTTTATCTTGTTCTAATAATTGACAGTGATACTGGCATAATATTGTTGAGGAAGAGTATGGAATGTGTATTTCAGAATAGTTCTGTTCGACATAGCTTGCACGTCACCCAACTTCCACCAACCCCGCGCTAACTCCACCAACCAATTATTATAGGATGATTGACAAGGCTGATGTAAATGCTGATCTCAAATATTACCTAGTAGGTACCACTAATAATTCCCTATCGATTTCCTTCTACTCCATACATACATACACACCTACATTGCATACCTACATATACTTGGGTACCTGGACAGGTATCTATTGGCATTGGCATTTGTATTCTGTGCTAGCGTCTGCTATTATTGTTAATATTTTGTGGCTTTCTGACCAATCGAAATGAAGGATTTACCTAATCATTAACAAGTTCCTTTAATATCTCTACTCCGGTATTCGTTTACTAGGGTCCTATCTACTCCTACTCCGAACCTAAAGCCTCGTACTACCTAGTATCCTTCATTCACAACATTCAACGCTCATTTCTACCATTTCCACCATACCTGCCCTCTACATTACTTCATCACACCATTCATCCCCTCTTTCCGCCCCTTGTTGATGCGTTTTCAATTACCATATTTAACTTTCAATTCAATTTCGATTTGTAGCTTCCCTTACACGATCAGACGCTCGACTTATTCCTCATTTGAAGTAGGTGCGGGTCAGAATACCCACAACCCAAGTAAGTCACCACGATCCTGGATGTTTGCTTCTATTTTCTTCTTAGAAAATGTCCAAAGTCGGGATGACATGTTTACATTTATATACTTTTGATCATTATTTTCTTGGTTCCACTGTTATTCACTCTGAGATTCTCTTGCTAAAATATGTCTAAGCAAGATAGAAAAAGCCGGACCCTGATCGATGAACTTAAGTTGACAGACGGGTACCACGAGAAAATAATGTCTGCCTCAACTGCTGGTCGACGTCAAGCGCGTGGTGGAGTTCGCTCCGGAACACATGAGAGGGGTGAAGAAATAGCCTTATGGACGGAGATCACTCAAGCTCTAGCCAAAATCAAAGCAGAAGAGAAGATCTTTGAAGCAAATATCCCAGAAGCCATCATCACTAAAGAAACCGCTATAGCTGAGCAAATGAAGAATGGTTTACGTGAGTATGGGTTCTAATCCGTAATGATGTTCGGTGTTGATGAAATTTAAGCACCTACCATGGCCGCAATAGAAGAGCTCGACATACAAATTCGAGAAGGCGTGAAAGTCTCCGAGTCGACAGCAGTAGCCCTACGACAAACCATTGAAAAACTGTCGATACTGTTAGCCTTGATCAAAGGCAACGAAGCAGAGCGAGGTTCCAATTCCCGCGAATCTCATGGAAGATCGAGTGTTACCGATGATGTAGGATCTACCGACTCTCCTGTTCCTTCTCCGGCAGAAAACAAACATGTTCGAAAGATGGGAAATGGCAGAACCAGCAGTTTACCCCCGAAGGGAAAAGATACTTCTAGGAAATCTGAGAATGAAGAGCCTAGTACTAGTACTAATACTGGTAGTACTGCTGGTACTAATAATAATAATACATCTACAACTTCTGGTACTAGTGGCACAAAGAAAATCGAATTCTCTAAGGGACAAGAGGTGGCATTCAAGCCGAGACCCGGTTCTCCGTTTGCTGAGATGGATTGGATTCAAGGAAAGGTCGCAAAAGTTATTGGTGACGGCAAGAGTCGCAGATACAGGGTTGAAGATGTAGCTCCTGATGAAGGGAATAAATCCTCAATTCTTACATCCGCGTCTTCTATGTGCCCAATTCCACCAGATGACGCCATTCTTGGACCCTACGAAGTTGGAAAGCGTGTCCTCGCTCTTTATCCCGAGACGACAACATTTTACCGAGCGGAAGTTAAAGCAATGCTTGATGATGGCAATAGAGTTAGGTTGATATTTGACGGAGATGAGGATTCTACAAAGGAAGTCGAACGGCGATTTGTTCTTGATCATTCAGGTTAAGAGTATAGAGATTGTTTTTCTTCAAAGGACGGACTCTAGAGGCATCGGTGGGTTATTTGGCGTTACATCTTTTTCCCTTCTTCTCTGGAGCGCTCTTGGTACAGGAGTATTGGAATAAGGATACCCCAAAAAGCATTTGACAGTTGATATCTTACCTGGGATAGATGGAGTTTATGGTGGCTATATCATTACTCTTAACAAATGTGGTGTACAGGACACAAGTATGTTGTAACTGGGCGTTTTGCTCTTTTAGATTACGGAGAGGGCCATCCGGTGTTCGAAAGGTGCAAGACAATGTACTGTACTCTTCAGCACTGCAGCGGATAAAATTAATTCAAGTACCAATTTCAAAGGGTTTAATATTTCATGTCTCAATTTTCGGAAAGCAGCGAGACTGTGCCCCTCATCCACATGTTTTAGATATCCGGTACTCAATTTAGAGTATCATCCGAATAGCCTCATCAAACCGGGGTGATTTCGATACTTAAGATGGATGTTATTGTGTCATAGAGAGGAACACTACCACATGCTTAGACAATTCCATCTCGTTTACACACTCATTACGGAGTAAACATGTGTGCCCTAGGTCGACTTCAACACATTGCACCCCTTGAAAAAATTGGTGCAGCCCATAATAATATCGGACAATCTGGCCTCCAAATTTGAGGATCACTTTGAACCATCTTCATCTGTTTGTGAGTTTAGGTAATGTCAAAGGAACATAGCCAGAAAGCTTCACAAGTTCATCGACAGTTTGGCGTAGGATGGCTGGCGCGGAGGAGAGAGAGATATAAGTAATTCCCCGAACTGAATGATTACTCATCACCTTTTGAAGCACGTGCCTCTGTAATTTACATTTCCCCTTAAAAAGCAAACAAAATGGGGATTGGGCTTGATGGCTGAAAATGGATGATGGGTGATTTCGAGTCCCTGGGTGGGGAGGAGTGATAATAATCATAAGAGTGATGATGATAATAATAAGAGTGACAACAATAATAAGAGTGATAATAATAATAAGAGCAATAACAATGAGAGTAAGAATAATGAGGGTAATAACAATACTAAACAAGTCATTTCTCAATCTTCAGTTCCTAGATACCACCTACCTACCCACCCAGTCATTTCCCACATCGGTATCAACAGTTCCATCATTTGATCATCATCTCTTTTATTAATTGACCCTATCAACTCACTGTTCACTACTTTAATTAATCTCTAACATTGGTGATATTCGTTTCAACCCCAAAATTCAACCACACCATATCTCATTCCCTCTTGCCCTTTTACCTTTTACCTTTTACCTTTGATTCCTTTTTCCGTTGTTTGATTCTTCCGTTTCAAAACTACCCGGCAGAGCGATAAGGTTAATACCGGGAAAGAAAATCATTTCGAATATCAAAGACCTTAAACATTTTATACTTTGGATTCTCCTATTCCTTCTTATTACCCTGTTCCTCTCCCTCTACCTCTCCCTCTCCCTCTCCAGAGCATACCTCTACAAGGTAATCTCTCCTTTCAATTAAAAGCAAAGATACCGGCACGACAAGTGCTCTCGCGATTAATTGTTAGCCGCTTCTTCTCATCATTACGCGACTTTGCTAACACTACCTCCATCTCTAAAGGTTCTCTCCTCCACCTTTTAATTAGAACCCATAGAGGAGACCAAGCGACAATCCTTTGAGACTCAACTCCTCTCGTCTTCTTCAGCAACCATCACAATCCTTTCAGCCTCGCCTTGCAATAAAAGCCGCCAAAAATTGGACCGTCTACTTTCAATTCATTTGGTCGGGTCTACCTGGGTCTGATTTGATTGTCTTTGCATTAGAACTTTATCATCCTCTGCCATCGATCCACCGTCACTCCTTTCCAAACATTATTTCACACGCATATCATCTGGCAAGACTTCACAGGCCCTTTTAATCGCCTCTAACTCTGTGCCGTTATTCGATTTGCCCACACTTCAATTAATATCGTACATATCATACGCACATCTCAAATTCTGTCAACATGGGAGGAGCTATTTCTAAAATGATGGGCAAGATCTTCGGATCCAAGGAAATGCGCCTGTTGATGTTAGGTCTCGATGCTGCTGGAAAGACAACCATTCTCTACAAATTGAAGTTGGGTCAAGATGTCACTACAATTCCTACTGTTGGATTCAACGTTGAGACGGTGACATACAAGAATGTCAAATTTAATGTCTGGGATGTTGGTGGACAAGATAAGATCAGACCTCTATGGAGACATTACTTCAGTGGTATGTACTCGATTGTCTGCTAAGCATCTTTTGATTTGAAATACACGAGTCGGAGCCAATTCTAACAGAAATTTGTCGAAATATAGGTACCCAAGGACTTATCTTTGTGATCGATTCCAGTGACAGAGCACGCATAGCGGAGGCACAACAAGAGTTACATCGCATTATCAATGACAGAGAAATGCAAGATTCATTACTCCTAGTCTTCGCGAACAAGCAGGATATTGCAGGAGGTGGGTGATACAATTCAATGGTTACAATCATATTGCAAGTGAGAAGCTGACAATCGAGAAGCCATGAAGCCACCCGAGGTCACAGAACAACTTAAGTTGAACGAATTGAGGAACAAGGTTTGGTTTGTAGTACCAAGTTGTGCCACTACCGGCGAGGGGTTGATGGAAGGACTGGTATGTTTTCTATTCATTCATGCAACGCATCAATTGCACATTGCAGATGGTTTTGTGACTATGCTGACGTTGAGACTCAGGCTTGGCTTTCGAAAACAATTGAAGGAAGACCTGCCCCGCAAACAAAACAATAGTGTCGTTGACTATCCAAACCAGAACGCATAATATCATTTCTCAATAATCAGACCTTACCGCCGCTTTATACCTCAGACTACACGATATATCCTCCTACGAATATGTCCCTCCACGAAATATTCATACCTAAACAGAATACTTGGCTCCCAGTAGCATGTCATACCGATTCATTTGAGTCACATCTACTCAATCACGATGCTTAACTCCATAACGGCTCCTTATTACTGTCATCTCGTCATTTCCACCAGCCTATCTTCGGTTGTATCTCGTAACATCCTCTAATCTCAGGATTTTCTCATATCTCTCTTTGTTAATTTCTGACTTGCGCATGCAACAATGCGCACTTCTTGCGTTTTTTTATGGTGAGGTTCATATGTACGTTACCTACGGGGATGGCGGCGATACCAAGAGTTTTCTTTATCCTTTAATTCACTATTGATTCTTTCTTGTTTCCATTCTTCCATCAAGTGGCGCGAGGTGGAGAGGCAGGCTTGAGGTTTCTCCTTAAGAGAGGGGAAACTAGAACGACAGGAGGAAGGAAAAACAAGAACGTTGTAATATTAAGCGAGTAACGAAGGGGTCTAGGACATGGGAATGGCAAGGCAGGGCGGAGCTGAACTGAACTGAGACCTGGAGGGAAGTAGAAAAAATCACCATCATACCTACAAAAATGAAAACCTTGTAATTCTAGCTCTTGTACAGATGCCGAATTTCAAATTCTGCAGTGACTTTTGATCGGGCTTGTGGTAAGAATTTCAGTATGGCCACAATTTCAAGTGCTCTGGTTGGTGCAGATGAGATTTCCGTCTGTATTCTATGCTGTCGTTATTTGTATTTTACAAAAGCCAAAACTTGAACTCCATTCCCCGCTATTCGCTGCCATACCCCCTCAAACCCTTCAGCACCTTATTCCCTAATTCCGACCTGTACCCATTCTATATACAGTCAACGGGAGGCCACTCAAAACCCACAAGACAGTCCACAAGGACCCTTACATCTAAAAATCGGCATCCTCACTCCACTCCCATCGGCCAAGATTGTTCCCCCAAATCTCTCACCCCCAAACGACCAAGATTTTGCCCACCCTAAGCCGCTATTTCTTTTGCGGGCCCTTTCTCGTTCCTTGGCCTTCTCTTTCTCCTCTTTTGCTTCTGTTCTCTTGGCCGATCCTCGTTCTTGAGAGGATTTAGTTGGCTTCTTGTTGTCAGGGTCTTTAGCTGATGCAGAGGTTTTCTGCTTCTGCTTCTGCTTCTCCCTTTTCTTCTCTTTCTTTGAGTAGTCTCCAGGGTCGAGGAATGGATCAGTCCTGTTCTCTCCATCATTGAAAGAATTGGACCGGTAATCATAGTCATTATCGGCTTCGATGTCATCGCCATTGTTGTCGTTCGTTCCAAAGAGAGAAAAAGAAGGGAAGGAGAACCGCTTTCTTCGGTTACCGGCAGGTTTTGTGGATTTCTCAGCTGCATCGTAAATATTATCTGTGCTATTTGTTGGCGAATAAGTATTGTGATTTGTTGCAAAGAAAGTGCCGGATGTACGAGGAGGTGGAGAACTAGATTGTCGTGGCTGTGGTTTGACAGTCTCGTAACCTGTAGGTTCATTGGATGTGAAGAATGGAAATGACCATCGTGATTTCTCGCTGGCTTCGGCTTTCTTGGCTTCTGTTTCTTCGTAAATTGGATTGTAGCGAGCATGAGAAGACGACGTGCGAGTGAAGGAGTAAGGTCGACGCATCTTGAAAGCTTGAGATGCGAATTGGAAGAGATGATGCAGATTGGAATACTATGATGAACCCGATTCCTTCAAAAGGTTACGGACATCTAGAGTGGTCGTCTTGAGGGATTGACTGCCATCAACTGGGGAACTCTCGCAATTGGATGCCCTTTTTGGACCGATTCAATCGAAATCCGAGATTCAATGGCGAAACGATAGTACCAGCAAGTTTTGGGAATCTAACGTGACGAATGTGAATTATAAGTTATTTCTGCTGCATTTATTCATTCAAACTCGATGCCCAGATTATGCCCCTCGTCATCGTCATCATATGATGATCATCGAAAAAATAACCCGAAGCGTTTCCCGTCATTATGCTCAATTTTCGAAACTTAGTTTTGATATGAGTTATTATAACAATTCATGCCAATGAAGTGCTCGCTTGGGGATCCCTCCAAAAATTGCCAGCAAAGTCAAACAAACTCGCATTGTGGCTGTGCAATTTTTCTTTTGTGATTTCCCTACCCCTCCAGGTTATACACTTTTGGAATTCAAACCCTGCTGATCTAAAGCATCCGAAGGTACCATTATGACAATGGTACCCTAATCAATGTTGAGATCCCCAAAGAACATTTAATTGATAAGATTGATACCCTGCATAGATCCAATAATGTTTCGAGATTTATTCCTTTAATCTTTTCGCTGGTCTTGAATCGTCCGGTAACCCACTCCTCTTTGTGCCAGGTAGACTTCCAGTTCGAATATCGTTATCATCCTGACTAACCCTCCTGTGCGGATATTCTGTTTTGACCCCCTCGAAGACGTTGGCACTAACTTTATCCCCTGTACTGAAAAATGGATGTGTTAATGCTGCTTGCGCTGTTAATCGTTTTTCAGGGTCATATTCAAGTAAGCTGCTCAATAGTTTGTACCCCTCACCACCTAGACTGGAATTCGATACTGGAACCGAGGTGGGGGATGAATTTATAGTTTGATAATACCACTTCTCCAAACTCGAGTATCCAGCTTTTGCATGTCCACTGGCTGAGAGAGTGGAAAGTTGTGAGTATTCCGGCATGTGTACCAGATGTGGCCATTTTTCCTTGGTTGGCAATCCCATTATATCGACAATCTTTTGCATCTGATTCCTCTGGAATGGTACCGTTTTCTTACTATCCATTTTCGCTTCTTCGCCTTTGAATATCGGTCTGAGGGAGAGGAGTTCCGCAAAAATGCACCCAATAGCCCACATATCGATGGCCGGAGTGTAATGCTTTGAACCTAGTAGGAGTTCCGGGGCTCGATACCATATCGTAACTACAACTTTGTCACCCGAGAAAAGAGAATGCAATGGTTTGTTGAAAAGTCGAGCAAGTCCCAAATCGCCAATTTTCACTTCCCCTGCAGAGGATACCATGATATTGGCAGGCTTGAGATCACGATGAAGTACCCAATTCGCATGAAGGTATTGGCAGCCATTGAGAAGTTGAAACATTATGGATTTCACTGTTGGAGCGGGAATGGGATGGCGAGTAGGCTGGGTATGATGATGGATAATCTGAAGAAGGTCATGTTCGGCATATTCAAACACCATGAAGATACACTTGTCTTCCAGAATAATCTCAATGAGTCGAATGACATTCATGTGACTCAACTCGGAACACAGTGCCATTTCCCGAACTGCTGATTGTGAAATACCCGTATATTGGATTTGTTCCCCTTCCTTATCTAGGATAGATTAGTATATATATGACAGTGCTGGTGTCAATTTGTTTGTATTTACCTGGTTTAAATTTCTTGATGGCGAATTCCCCAGGTCGTCCATCTCGCCCAACCGCTTTATAAACTCGTCCATATGTACCAGAGCTAATGAAACCAATGACTTTATATCGATCAATAACTCGAACTTTACTTTGGTATCCCAAGTTAGGATTGGCTGATCTTTCAGCTGTACCTGGGATTTGTCAGTTAGTTTTGTAAAGTCTAATACAAGTAGGATAACAACGAACTACTAGGGGTGTAAAACGGAGGAGGTCTTCTTGTGGGATACATATTGAATCGATATAAAGTAATTTGAAATAAAAAATCAAACGATAGAGGCAATGATTCGATATTTGATGAAGCAAGAGATCAGAGTTTTCAAACCATATTGGAAAGAGCTATTGAGGTGCCGATCAGAGATGAAGATTTTGATAGAATATGCCTCTGTTGATGAGGAAAGTAGCCAACGAAACGAAAAATAATAAATGTATTAAGTAATATCGTTTGAGAGATAAATAAAAAAAAGTCATATATCTGCATTACCTTCAAAAACAGCTTGAACAGATCTCTTTATTTGAGTTCTAGATGCGGAGATCGAGGATGGGCCGCCGGATGACGGTGGATTAGATGTCAGGCTCATTATTGTTATTGTGGATAACGCGTGTGCGTACGGCGGGGGCGGCGTACTGCGGCTTGGATTTGCTTGATTAGTATGCAGATTCAGTGGGCATCAAAATCTGTAAATCTCCCAACCAAGACAATCTTAGACAAGCTCGTATGTGGGCAAAACAAGGGGAATGGCAATAAAAAGATTTCAAATGCGCGTGTGAAGGTGGGTGTGAATAGCAGGTAGCGTAATACTGCTTTGCAGTAGTGCAGGTTCGGTAAGATGCAGTTGAGCGTAATTTAGATGCAGGTTGTAAGTACAGTCGGTTGCATCAAGCGTGTCAAAGAACCCCTTCACAATTAGCTTCGTATCGGGGAAGATGATCAAATTTGCCGCGAAAAAGGCTACCTGGTCGTACAATATGTGTGTAAGTCGATATGAGGTATAGTACGAGACGCGCTTGATATCAAAGTTCCAGAAAGGGAAAGTTGTGTTAAGGTCTTAGTAACAGGATGGAAGGACGAGACATATGTCGGCCGATCAAATTCACAAATCTCGAATAATAAGACGAGACGATTTCAGATGACCTAGACGAAAAGAATATGTAATTGTAATGTAGCTAATGCGATGTGATGTGTTGTGATATGGGAAACCCCGGGGCTGAGAATTGAATGATGATTGACAATGTCTGCGGTGATTCGATACAGCGATGATAGGGTCACACGGGATAGTTGTGCACCTGCGTCTTTGAACGGTTGATGTGTAACCCCCAAGTAACATTCAAAGATGGGGATCTGTAGGGCGAGATTCGGAGATAGCGGTCAGATGAGGTGACCTAAAGAGGGGAAGCCTTCTGAATCAACGGGTAAAGCCAAGTTAGATCTATACTAACTTGGGAGATGAAGGGCGATTTGACAGTTTTTGGTGTTTCGGAGGCGGTGCTGTAGGTGGATTGTCACTTGTAAGATGCAGATACCTTGTAAGCATTCGTTGTTATCGACAATTCCTTCCACGTTCTCATAGGTATTCGGAGTGTCCGTATATCCAACCGAAGAAATTGGGTTGTTCTTGTTTCGCAGGTCCTTATTATTGTAGAGTATCTTGTATCTTGTATCGTTCTCAGCGGGGTGCAGGAGCATGCACCAACAAGTTGGATAATGAGAATGCAGAAATGGGGGGGGGGGGAGGTGGAACGGTGTAGGGTTTTGAAAGGGTCGTAGACTGATCTACTGGGAAGCAGGTATTGATTGATGCTATACAGAAGTCTTACTAGTATCGGATTCAAAGGATCAAACAGAATTGGTAGAAAACTAGTAGCTCAAGTGAGAAAGAGGAGAACGAACACCTACAACTGTATACCAACTATCAACTGTGAAGGTACCTAGGTACTTAGTACTCGTAGATAGCGTTCACATCAAAATATCAAAACATCAATCCTTATCGATAATGTCTACTTAGCGAGCCTAGGTATGTAGCCGCGACCAACACAGCTACCTGCATAATTACACAAATAAAGTTCATAACTCCCGAGGTCCTCATGACGTTTGTTTAGGTACTGCTTCTCTACCGACACTTGACAGCAAACCACAATGTAACACAAAGCTCCTGATTCATAAACTATCGAGCCAACGCAAACTACTACTAGCATTCCAGACCTGATAAGGGTTAAATTTATCAGGTCATATAGTATATACTTTTAACAAACTTCACAAGCCTCACCATTCATTTGCAACGCATGAATTATTCTCCTTAACTTCTCATACATTTTGGACTGAGTTCGATATGGCCTCAGGAGGCATGAGACAATGTATTCAGGATATCACTCCCTATCTACTTTTTCTCATATTTATCTCAACCCTTGGACCTCTACAATTTGGCTTTCATTTGGTATGTAATATCATTCCTTTCATGCTGATGATGGAAACTAGCACATAGCACATATTCACACATACCGTCATATACTATCTATCACTTCTACGAACAATAGCTAACCTAATTCCTTCAGTCTGAATTAAATGCTCCGCAAGATGTTATTACATGCAAGAAACAAAGTCACGTCGAATCAACTGTTCGTACCGGACTTCCACAATGTATCCCTATGACCGAAGCCGAATTTGCCGCTCTTTCGTCTCTCTTCGTCTTAGGTGGATTATCAGGAGCACTGGGTTGTGGCGCCGTGTCGACAAGTTATGGAAGATTGTTCGCCATGAGAATTACAAGTGTTTGTTTCATACTAGGATCAATCTTGGAAATTTTCGCCGGCACAGTTCCAATGATGTCTATTGGCCGTTTCTTCTCAGGTATTGGTGCTGGAGCGTCGACTGTCGTTGTGCCAATCTATATTTCAGAAGTTGCACCGCCTAAAGAAAGGGGATTATTTGGATCCATGACACAAATTACCACGAATGTAGGAATCCTACTTACTCAGGTTCTGGGTTATTATCTAAGTAAAGGATCGAAGTGGAGAATCATACTGGCAGCTGGAGCTGGACTTGGATTGTTACAAGGAGTTGGGCTGCTATTCATCCCGGAAAGCCCGACATGGCTTGCCGCACATAAAGACACACAAACAGCGACGAGAACCCTCCAGCGAATTAGAGGACATGGCTATTCCATTGATGAAGAGATTCAACACTGGGACATTAAGTCATCCGAAGAGGAAGAAGAGCGTCTTTTACTCGACCCAGACCTGACTAGAAGGGACTCTGTTGCTAGCAAGTCATCCTCACAGAAATCCATTCCTAATGTTGGATTCTTTCAAGTCATTAAAGATCCCTTCTACCAACCTGCAGTCGTTGCCGTCATTGGTATCATGTTTGCTCAACAACTTTGTGGCATCAACAGTATCATCATGTATTCCGTGTCACTCTTGTCTGGCCTTCTCCCCGTCTCTTCATCTATCATTACGATTCTTATTTCGGTAGTTAATCTCGTGGCGACTGTCGCATGTGCTCCATTAGCCGATAAAATTGGTCGAAAAGCATGCCTTCTCCTTTCCATAACTGGTATGGGCACCATGTCTCTTTCATTGGCATTATCCCTTCGTTGGGAAATCAAGATTCTCTCTGCAATTTCAGTCATACTATTCGTGACATTTTTCGCCACAGGTCTTGGTCCTGTTCCTTTCATGATGGCATCAGAGTTTGTCGGTCCAGAGGCTGTGGGTGCGACGCAAAGTGTAGGTTTAGCAGCCAATTATCTTGCTACTTTTCTAGTAGCCCAATTTTTCCCCATAGTCAACTCGAGCTTGAACAAAGCTCTAGGGGGTGTGGGATGGGCGTACTTTATATTTGCAGCGTTGGCAGTACTGTGCGGAATATTTGTTAGTTGGAAGGTTCCCGAGACTAGAGGCAAGAAGGATGCCGATGAAGTCTGGGGAAGGCTGAGAAGAGTTGATTGAATTAGAATGACGAGCTCTCTGTGTAGGATACACATCATGATATCACAATTAGCTCGGCGTTAGGTGTTGATATTTTCTACCATATACTCACACTTTATTTTCAAGAGGAAGCTGTATTGTATAGTTGGTGTCAGACTTATAATCACTCATCATTTATTATTCTCTGCTTGATGTTTCGATTTCCATCACAACTTCTTTGGAGACATCACCAAGTGATTTGATTTTCTCATCAATATCACCAACCTCATCCCTCTTTTCGATGCTTCAAAATTCTTCGTTATTACTTCACCTTGTGCCCAATTTCCAAGTCAAACATTTGTCAAAAAGACTTTGAGTATATGTAAATTCAACCCAAATCAACTTCAATGTGATATCAGGGTCTTATGATGTTTCATTTACATGTCTTGAATGTCCAAAGCGGGGTATTCATGTATTTCATGTATTCCAATTCTCGAATGGTAGCTTCAAGCACCACGCCTGATAGCCTTCAAGAATATTCTATCCACTCAGGCTAAATGTCATTGAGAACCTGCATATCTTCACGTCTGCAAAGTTTGATATTGACAGTCTCTGATTGAACTGTTCGTACCAATTGTGCTGTAATTTTGTTTCAAAAACCGCCCCAAAAAATGGCATGCTCATAAACCATGCTCGGAGCACACATCCTCGCCTCAGCTTATCGTGACTATCCAGCTCAACGGTTTCTTCATTACGAGACAATGATCAAGAGCTTCCTTCTCCCCACTTTCTTGCCAAAGCCGCCACATCTACAACCCTAGAATGAATAGTGCTAATAAGATCAATCACCATGCAATCTATCATGAGCTCCAGTGTCTTAATTTCATACGTCCGAAGGACGCAGATCGCGAAACTCAACACCCGTTCTAGTCCAGAAATGGTATAAATTGCCGTCGTCAAATCTAGTGTGAATACTCAAGTTTAACGCAGCACCTATATATTACTCAGACTGCATGAAAGCAGTCCCAGGACCATAGAATTCTGTCCTACAAGTGAATTTTGCTGAACTTTTAGTGGTGTAAATCAGCAGAATTCCCCAAAAAGCCCATAGTACACCGACTCAATCGACAACGTAGGCTCGCCGTCAACCATCTTCCCAATGTTATAGGCAGTGGGAGTATTGGACCAATTGGCCAGACCTCGTAGTGGTAACATGCGACGGGGTAGCATATTCATTAAGGAATTTCATTTCAGGCGGTCTGATAAATGCTTGGAGGTTGAATGAAACGGAAAGTCGCCAGATCATTTAGTGTCGAAGTAAGAACT